AAAAAAAAAAACATTATAAAAAAAAAAAAAAAAGACATGAAGAACTTTATTTACATATCCTGATTATGACTCCACCAAAGTTCTTATGTTTTGTATGTGCTTTCCCAATTACATCTCCTGGACTACAGTATTTATAATTACCACATAGCATGGCTGTTGACCATGATAGCTGTCAATTCTGGGGTTGAAATCTAAACTCCTATGAAGGGCACCAGATTGAGAAAGAATGTTCTATATACTCTTGTAACAGAATAAGAACAGTTACAATACTGAATTATGAAATTGTATAAAATGTTACTTACTCTACAATAGTATCTCGATCTGCAATGTCTCCAAGAACCATGCGCTGTATGATGCTATTGTGCTCTTCCTCTGAAAGATTTTTATATGAAACCAAAGGAATATTGTATTTTGTTGCAGGTGATGGATCAACTCCTTGTAGCCAAGGGTGATTTTCAATTTCTTCCAAAGATGCCCTTCGTTTGGGGTCTCTTTGCAACATTCGTGTAATTAAACTTAGCAAGAAAAATATAAGCATATATTAGCATCATTATAAAAGTATATTCCACAAAGCTGTTTTTTTCCTATTGTACAACTGGCCCTCATCCAACATGTAATTGACTTTATTTCATTTGTAGAATTCTGGCTATTTAACATTACAGCTAGTCCTCAACTTACGTCCATTCATTTAGTGACCATTCAAAGTTACATCGGTGCTGAAAAAAATGACTTACGACTGGTCCTCGCACTTATGACTGTTGCAGCATCCTTGCAGTCATGTGATCGCCATTTGTGACCTTCCCAGCTGCCTTCCGACAAGCGAAGTCAATGGGGAAGCCAGCAGGGAAGGTCACAAGTTGCGGTCCTGTGATGTCTTGCTTAACAACCAGTGATTTGCTTAACGACTGCAACAAAAAAGGTCATAAAATCGGGTGGAGTCACCTGATGCCTCACTTAACAACCACACTGCTTAACGCAAATTTGCCAGCCCCTATTGTGTTGTAAGTCGAGAACTACCTGTATCTTACTGAGATACTAGATCTCCACAATTCTTTTTCAGAATTACTGCAGAGGTCTATATGGGATACTATCCTAGTGCATCAGCATGTAAATAAATTCATTTGAAATAAAGGATGTAAGTCACAGCACATAGTAGCACCTATCCAACCTTAGCTTTTATCTTGATAGGTAAAAAATATCAGATTTAGTAAGTGTTTTGATGGAAGACCACCAGGAAAACCATTGCTGTATACTAAACTAGAAACCACATCAACATTTTTGGTTTAATACTGTGTATTGCTTTGTCTTTCAATGCCTTTCAGAAGGTTTTACATGTGTGTATAAAAGCAGCATGAAAACTGAAGATCATAGCACAAAGTGAGGCGTTATATAAATGGAAGATCTATGACATACAGGTTCTGATCAGATTTATTTTTATAACTCAAGAGTTGTTGAAAAATTCACATTTTCATTAATTTTTCAAAGCACTCTAAGAAACAGTCATGGAAATCCAATATGATTTACCATACTATGTCATTAAAAACCAGTTTCTTGTAACAAAATCAGAATAATTATAATATTAAACCTTAAAATAATAACATTTTACTCTATAATAGGATCTTGATCTGCAATGTTTCCTAGAACCAGAACCAATTATAGAATAGTGAATGCAAAAAAAGAGGAAAAAAAATAAAACCAGTAAAGGATTTATGCATAATTATTACATAGGCAAAAATAATGTTCAAAAAATAAAAATGTGAGTATTTTGAAAAATGAGGATAAATTATTTCATTCTTTAACATTTATTTCATTTATATCCTGCTTCTCCTCCAAGGAATTCAACAAAGTATAGACAATTCTTCCATTTTATCCTCACGGAAATCCTGAGGAAATAGATTAGGTTGAAAGAGAAGATTTTTGTATTTTTTTCATTGTGGTGAAATTAAAATACAAACTGGGTTCTTCCAGTCTTCACTACTATACCTTACTATTTATTAAATTACTGGCATAATGCTTTTAATTTCAAGGCATTGTATAGAATAATTTACTTACTCTTTACATTCTTTGGACACCCGAGATGGTACTGTGTATTTACAATCCATTATCATGGTCAAAGTTTCACTATCATTTGCTTCTTGAAAAGGTGGTTGTCCACATACCAACATGTAAAGAATAACTCCCAGGCTCCATATATCTGGGAGAAAATAATGAAATTTAAACTTCAAAACAGTAAATATTCATTTACTATAACAATTAATTTTAACCAACATTTTATAGTCAGAATTTACACGATTACAAATAACCTCTGATAATAGCTGGAATTGTTTTTTATGTACTTCCTGGAAGTGTTGTTTGATTTTTATATGTTTTGTACTCTTTGTTTTTATGAAGTTTTCAACATAAGCCACCTTGAGTCTTTCAGATTTGGTGGCCCTGTCAGTCAAATAATAAAGCAACTGTCTGACTGCCAAGCAGCTACCAAGCCAAGTTCAAGCTTTGCTTATGATATATAAGGCTCTAAACGTCAAGGAACAAGGATGCCTGATGGACTAGACATAGTCCTCATTTAGCAACCACAATTGGTTCCAGCAACATGGTCCCTAAATGAACCATGTGACAGAGAGAGAGAGAGAGGGAGGGAGGGAGGGGGAGGAGAGAGGGAGAGAGAGGGAGACACTGCAAAGATTGCTGGTTGCTGTCGCCTCATTTAGATAAAGTTCTATCGTGCAGCAATGCCAGCATTACTCTCACTCTGGAGTGCATTGTTGTCAGGTATAGAAATTTGGGCATAAGTGCATGCATTGGTCAGAAAATGATTTTTTTACTACTGTTGATTACCATCATATTTGCAAATGGTTGCTTAACGAGGCAGTTGCTAAGTGAGGAGTACGTGTACCTTCACTATGTTAGTCAAGCACTGACAATTGGGGCAGTCTTACTGCATATGCCTAGAACTACAGACCCTGAAGTTGCTTGTGTGGGAGCTTTTCCTGTGGGGTACTACACTCAGGAACGTTCTTTTCTGAAATTTTGTAGGTGCCTACTGTTACATTTTACAATACTGAAGGCCTCTCTCAAGCCTTTTGGTATGAATGCTGAATAAATGCTTCTTGGGTATTTTTGTTTTCCTTTCCGCTTTCCGCACATTTTTTTTTTAATTGGGTATTTTATATTTTGTAGGCCATTCAATAGTGCATTTGAATAGAAATAATTAATATGCCAATTTTTTTAAAATGCCTTCCTGTCATAAAACACAACTCGAGAGAATCCACCTCCTGAATAGATAAGTCTGTCAGATAGACCAGCAGTCTAACTTATTAACAGGCAAGTCCATATGTTCACTAAAAATACAGGGCAAAAATAAACTCCTTCCATCCCAGAACCAAACACCTTGAAAGATATCTAATGTGAATGAATGCCTTTTCTGTTAATTAGATGGTATTATCTATCTACTATGTGCTTGTTTCTGTTCTAATGAAATAAAGTGTCTATGCTTCTGAACATCTAATTCTTCTGTGATTATGTATACAGGCCACTGCATTATATTCTGCAATTTGCTAATCCTACAATTTTTTCAGATGTTGATTGAAAAGAAAAATGATTGAGCTCTGCAAAAGGGTTTTAACTGAAACAATAAATAGATTGTGACCATTTGGAAATACAATTTCACATTATTAATCAAAGCAAGCAAAAATTGTACAGAAGAAAAAATCATTTATATATTTGTTGCTAGGCAGCAAACCAAAAATTAGGCTTTTTTTTACCCAGAAACCTTCTCAAGATCCACCCACCTCAGAGCTGAATGTTCATTTTAAGAATTTTCACTGTTACATGAATTTAGTTATTTTTAGTTTTTTATATTTATTGCTCCCATTAGCAGGCAATCTGACAACATATCTTCATGAAAAGTCTGGAGCAGTATCAGGAATCAAAGTGTTTACCAAAAATAGATTCAGAATTCTGTTAAATACCTTTAAACAAAGGATCTGACTGAGAGTACAAATATATTACAAACATCAGTGATTGTAAAACATAATTCTTCATTTTAAGGAAGGTCTTAATTCTTAAGGAAAACACAGTATGTAATTTGGAATTGCAGTGTTTGAAGATTCATAGCTGCTGGTTAGCATTTGCAATTTTCAAATGCTTCTGAAACACCCCAATTGTGAAAGTTGTTCCAGCAGGATTCTCAGAGCCATGACAACCAAGCAAAATACATGCAACTTCCTTACTCCCTTACATAACATCAAGTCACTGCTATGGAAACCAAGCTTCGTCACTGACTTCCCCTTTGATGCTTGTCACAAATCTAGTAAGCAGAGAGCCCCAAAGTTCATTGTGGATTTAGTTGTGCAGGTTATTAAAAATATCACTTTATTTTCAAAAGAACTCCAAACAAAACTGTCAACCAATGTATTTCACACTGAATCCTTAAGGTTTTAATAAATTGCTCTGTGTTGAGACAAATGTTACAGTTTAGAGAAACTGTTAATCAGCAAAAAATTCTGCTATTTTTAAAATAGTTGCATCATGACAAAAGAGGCATACTTTCTCAGTCCCTAATCTCTAAAACCACAGAAATAAAGGTGATAAAAATTATACATCTTTATTTGTATCAGTGGCCATGAGCAGAATCTTTTTAATAATCTTACAAATTAATCACACATGACACTTTTTATTAGATATGTTGGACCAGCTACGAAGACTGGGGTTTTTTTTTGGCATAAAGGACCTAGTAGCATTACTATAATATAATGGGAATTCTAGGTGGCAGAGGGTGGTCTTGCAGGAAAGATCTGTGAGTAACACCTTCATGGGACTCTCCTGTAAATCCCCATGAATTTTCTTTAAAATATCACAGAAAAATTATCTGCAGAATAATTTACTATAGTATAATGGGAACTCCAGGTTGCAGGGGGTGGTGTTGCAGGAAAAATCTGGAATAACACCTTCATGGGACTCTCCTGTAAATCCACATGAATTTCTTTAAAATATCACAGAAAAATTATGTACAGAATAAGATGATTAATTATATAAAATACTAGTAATACTCTCTAGTGTGTGGCTTGAAATTACTAGTGGTGATAATGGTTTATTATCAGATCATCACTTCCTAATGATCTTCCAAAAAAAGTGAGCATTTTGACTGTAACAGATGCCATCTCCAGACATGACACACTTAGCAAAAAGAAGATTCACATCAAATATTTGAAGCAAATAGCATTTCTTTTTACCATTCTCAGACATGCACATCACAAATCAATCTTGCCAGCTGTATACAATCCATTTAGTAATTTACCACTCAAATTAAAAATGCCTACTTTCCACTTGAATGGGACTTCCTAACAACATATCACAAAAATTTTAGGCAGCTAATTAAAAGACCATATTATAAGTGTTATGTGCCCATATTCTAACAAAACTATAGAAGATTTTTCATATTGTTTTTTGCACTGCCTTATTTCTGCTTCTGCCCATGGAAAATTTTTGGAGCCCTTCTTGAAGGAGGAACTATTTTGACCTGATTCACACAAAACTGAATATTTAATGGATTTGGTCAGGAAGATTTAATTATGGAGGTTAGCAAGCTTCACTGAACTAACTGCTAAACAGATAAATGATTTTATTAAATGTTCTTAACCTTTTATTTTCTTAATCAAAAAATGCTCTATACATTTTACTTGATTTTTATGTATTCTAACATATTTTAATTATGGTTGGTTATTTTATTTAACTCCTGTATTGTTATGCCCTGCAGTCAAAAAAATGAACAGACTGACTTGAATTGATACATTAAGATAGCTGTATGAAACTGTGTGGACTTGAACATTTTTATGTGACCCTTTAGACCCTAATTAGCTATCTACTTATAACAGGAGAAACTTTGATGTCATATATCCAATTGAAATACTTCTCACACAATATTCCCATGAAAGCAGGAAAGACAGTCAACTGTAAATCAATCTCATAGGTACTACTAAACTGTCATGTAACATTTTCCCAGCATTTACTCCTTCCCCATCTACTTTGATTATATATTCTATGTACTCACTCCTTCCTACCCATTTCCTTTTCTGTGTGGGGGAATTACTACTTTAGTGAAGGATTTCCTGTTTAACTGTTGCTACACAATACTTGGCTTGTAAGAATTAAGTCTAATGTTGTTCCACTGATAACACTACATGTACAATAAAGGAAATGAGTAACATTAGAAAAACCACAAAGACAGAAATACAAGAAATCCAAGGTAAATATCAAAATATGTGGTTGAGAGGAAACAAAACACACAATAAATTTATACATTTGGAGAGGAAACAACTGCCATCACAGTGCAATTGGAACAAGTAACCATTTTAGGCTGTTCACTGAAGCAAATTATTATTATACTCAGCATTTTTTTATTTTCAGATCAGATTTGTACAATATAAATTTGAGCAATCATGAGCTGAAATTTCATAGGCCTTTGATATAAACTTGATATGGTCCTAGCTGGTTATGTGTTTTCTTATTTAAAACATGGTTCCTATCTGGAACCCTTGAATGAAGTCATAATTTAATGAAATAGTTACAATTCACAGTGGATGGGATTCAAGGGTTAATAATGAAAAAGTTGCATTGCAGCTCTTAAAGACGAGCTGGGAACCAACTATTTTGAGATGAATTATGTCAACAGCATGTGGGTAAAAATATTTCTAATTATCAAATGGAAATGGGATAGAGCTAAGCTGTGTGTGTGTGTGTATGCGTGTGTACACACACACCCACACCCTTTTTTGCCCTTAGTTTCTCATGAAACCCCATCAAGGTCATAATGGGGAATACAGTTTGAAAATCCTGCAACAGTCAATCACAAAGGCATAAGGGCCACAATGAAAGCATACATGATTGAAATATCTGGAGAGGAATTTTAGCTGAAAACAGGAGGCTATTTCCACTTAAATACAACTATTCATAGCACACAACTATAAGAGGAGCCAGTAACAAAAACACTTTATATTGTGTTCCTAAATCAGAGAGATAATGCAAGCATTTGGACAACTGTATTGAGAGTGCATGTTGGTGCAACAACATGGAAAATGCTGTTTCCATCTACTGTCAATGCAGTTCAAAGAATTCTGGAATTCTAATTCAAGCACATGTTGAACTATACTATATATGAAGTAGATATAACCTAGCACCTGTTGTAAACAATACCGCATATTCAAGATAATCCAATCATAGAATGTTCTGTCTCAGCTTTTAACAATGACTAGTTTACTTTAGGAGTCCTTAAAATAACAGAAATAGGCTACACTCTGCAGTTGTCTGAAATTTGCTGATCATACTAGTTGAAGCTTAAGTAAATTTGCAATCCAAAATACCTGGGGGATACCAGGTTGCTTACTTCTAACACTAGACTAGAACAATGAAAGGATACAAAGACCTTTTAAAACATATGCTTCTAATATTTAAATCTACTCTTTCATAACATGGCATCCTCAAGATATCTTAGAATTGCAACTTTCAGAATTCTGCCTTGCCTATTAGCTGTGAATTCTGGAAACTGCAGTTCTTAGGTGGCATTAAATTATGAAAGACTGTTCAATTATTTTTCAAGAATAGCTCTTTGAACACAAAAATATAGCAATTGAGGTTGTGTTTATAGTCCATTAACTTACCTACTGCAGGTGCATCATACTCATCTCCAAGTAGAATTTCAGGAGCAGAATATGCAAGAGATCCACAACTTGTTGTGAGTTTTTTTCCAGGCTGAAATTTGTTGCTAAATCCAAAATCAGTCAATTTCACAAGTCCCTGTTTTTCAAAGAAAACAACATTTTCTGGTTTTAAGTCTCTGTGAACGACATGCAGTTTATGGCAGTAGGATATAGCATGAACAATCTGAGCAAAATACTTCTTTGCCAGATCTTCATTAAGACCTTCTTCATGCTTCATGATGTAATCAAACATATCTCCTCCATCACCAAGTTCTAAGATCAGATAAAGTTTGGTCTGGGTGTCAATAACTTCATACAGGCGAACAATATTGGGATGTTGCACTAGTTTCATGCATCTGACTTCTTGGAAAAGGTGTCCTGTGGCTAGAGTATCTAGCTTGGTCTTGTCAATTACTTTCACTGCCACTTTTTCACCTGTAAATACATGTCGGGCAAGCTTCACCACAGCAAAATGCCCTCTGCCTAGGGTTTTATCCAAATCATACAATCCAGCAATTTTTCCATCATATCCTCGTTTAAAACCTGCCATTCTGCTCCAAGTAGTAATGCCAACACTTTCAGAAACTTGTGTCTTTTCATATAAGGGTTTTTGAAATGGATGCACAACTCATCTTCGCTGCCAAATGCACCTAAAAGATCAAAAATAAAATTATTACAGTACATTTAGAAAAACATTTTTGCTTTTTTAAAAGTTGGACTTTGGTTAGGAAAGAACCCAGTATAAAAGGATTTTCTTGAAAGGAAACTGAATAATTAATTTAGATTTGCCACTCTAGAGATACCAGATACATAGGCAAGCATTGCCCAACACTCCAAGTAGTTGAATCATTAATCTAATTATGCAGTTAGAAATAAAGAAAATAAGAGGGAAAAAAGTTAATTCCACAAAAATTTTAACAGATGATTGCTGTTTCCTGTACTTCAAATATACTAAGAAAGAAATCTGATGAAACTGCTGAAAATATTGCCAAATAATAGTTAACAATAGCAGAGAACTTTCAAAATGAATATCTGTATATCTGATATACTTTCTAATGAAACTAGATAATTTTATATTTATCTATTTTATACTAAAAGACTCTTATATGTACATAGGGACAGAGTAACAAAGAGGCAAAACGGAAATGAACCATACATGAGAATAACAATCATTGTCTGTACTTTCTGCTTCTCATTTCCATATGAGCTCTTCACCATATGCAATTTTCTCCAGCCCCAACCATTTGCATATGTAGACACCTATAAATAGACAGGTCACAAAACCTTATGCTATAATATATTTAATAGTTATTAATATACCGCACAATTCTTTGCTTTTCTAACTATTCTAGCTCCTCCTCCCTGAGTTTTAAAAACAAATTCTGTTCTTTTTCAATAACAAAGGGAACTCTCAAAATAAACTATTTAATGACCTTCTGGTTCCTTCCCGATCAGACAAACTATTTAGCAGGAATTGGTATATGCACACTTAGGGATTCAAAAAGTAGACCAAGTCATTATTAGTTGAGCGGCCTTATACATCTGGCTGATAAATATATAACAATGTTAGAGATTGCCCAAGACATTATTTTGTTACAAACAACTTGTGTGCACTTCTAAATCCTAGAATTAAAAAGCATGTTTTTCTTCACAGCCGTTAAGGGCTGAATTTATAATATAAAAACTGAGATTTACACAAGTTACCAGGAAGCCTGATTCAGAAGACAGTTGTTGCTACTTAGATTTCAATGCTTATCATACTTAGTCAATTATGTATAAGCCAAATTATTTTTTTTAAAATAAACTAAAGATGGACTATAAGTAACAATGCAGTTAAACTGTACAGGCAAGGCCTTTGCAAGGAAGATGCACAGTATCATATTACTAGCTATGATAAAGTAAAACAAAGACTTATCAAAACCACAGCATCAGCTAATCTTGTATATAAAATTAAGCATCCCAGGTAAGGAAAATTCATCTCAACAGCTTGACCTGATCCATCTCTTTCTTCTCTTTTCTCTTTAATCCTGTCCTTCCTGGAAGAGAACTGCAATAGGTCATAATCTTTTGTTATTGTATGTACATTTGCAAGGAGAAGAAAATACTTTTAAAGGTACACCATCAGTTGAGGATCCACTATTAGAACTATGTATGAAATCAAGATGTCACTGTGACAACTAAGACAAATTTCACAGTGAAATAAAATCTATATTGAATAAGTTGGGGTCTACCAACCTTGGCAGTGCCCTTTTCAAAGGTAACATCTTAGTTATGCTTTGAACATCAAATTCCAACTTTTCTTCATGTTTTTAGAAGATTCATCTGCTGATATTTCCATATCCAGTTCCAAGACCAGTTTCACATTCTTCCACTGTTATTTCCTAAGTAAAAGAAATTTAGATTAACTTATTGAATAGCCACCATAATTGTCAAGCACTTAAAGGAATTATATAACTCTCACAGAAAATAACCATATGAATATGTGCATAGACTGTCATCCTAAAATTCATTTGGAACAACACATGAAGTGTCAAGAAAAGAGTATTATTTTTCTAGAAAAAAACTTAGATTATAAATAAATATTACTAATAGCCTTACAACATATATAAAATCTGAACTGAATACATCAGGAACAAAATGGAGGCCTTTAATGCTGCATTCTTTTCTGTACCCCAACAGGAACTTTCCCTTAGATAGACAGAAAGATGCTAAAGATGGAAGCACTGCACAGTTCTAGTAATCACATGTGTTGCACAGTCCTAGTAATCACTATACATTTTATATTTTAGTTCTAATGGTTATGTTCTGATTCTACAACAAACAGTTCCTTATTATTCTAAAAGATTTGGGAACTGAATAGCTTAATAACTGCATTACCCTGTACATTTGCCTTGAGTATACAATGCTCATAATGGTGAATACATGGGACAAGGTATGTTCAGCTGAGACATAAAGAGTATGGGAACATACTCCTGGGGAAGTATATCTGGCTTTATCTCTGGTATCAGTTCAAATGTACCTTTTTAGGAAATCTTTTCCCAGAAGCCAAGGGAAGCAGACATTTTTGAAAACAGCTCTGAATGGGACTGATTTCTTTCTTATCCCCAATTTTTATTATTGCTGATTTTGTCTTTTATATACTTTTTTTATCAGACTCAAGAGAAAAAAGAACATATTATAACCAGAGAGCCTCTCTGCCACAGAGAAATGCAGGTATTTATCCTAATAGTAACAATCAGCCTGTACAAATTTTGGAGATTAAGACCTTCAGAAATTCTTTGTAGTGACATCTTCCAGGAACAATTCTAAATGGTAAGGCTTTGCAGTTTCTTGGGGCATAGTCAATTACTTGATTCAGTATTAGCTTTGGGACTAAGTTATTTCCCCAACATTCCAAAATCATAGAAATCAACAAAAAAGAACAATTTTGCAAGAGACTACCTGAAATACTAGTATGCTTGCAATACTTTTTATTCCTTTTTTCCCTAAAAAAAGCTGGCAAACAGGCACTCATAAACTGTCAGATGGGGAACTGTTTTCCAGAGTTGTATGGACCAGTAGGTTAATAAAAATGTGGTCTAAATATAATTGGAGTTACTTGCAAATCTATATTAAAGGCATAACATTTCACAATCCCTTTACAAAGACATTTAATCTTTTAAATCACATTGATCAAGCTGTTTATATAATATTCCATTATTTTTACTTTTTTAATCTTCTAAGCAGGGAAAAGTTTAAATATTCCTCTCAATGCAATATCAAATCAGCTAAAAGAAGCAACCAACAAATTGAATAACTTCTTCAAAGCATATGGCAAGAACTGCATGCCTAACATCCACAGCACATTCTAGTCCAGATGTTTTACCAGAAACCCATGATGCCAATACAGTGTGTGTGTGTGTGTGTACAGAGAGAGAGAGAATCTGAGGTTAGGGGAGGTTATATACTTGGGTCATTATTATGACATTGGCTAGGGCTTAAGCCCTTCCTGACCTGGCTTTCCCACACACACATTTCTCCAAAGCTACTTCATGAGCACTTCCCCCATGGATCAGGAGTTTAATTAGTGCAGAAGTTAATCGTTTCAGTGCTATAACTTTGACCACTCTCTCCTATTAATTGTTTTAAAAATATAAGAAGCTACAGCTGTAGAAATAATGCTCTTTTAAACCAAGATGAATTAGATTATCTTTTTAGACAATATTTTGTGACATTTTCTAGAAATACTGTATTCTCTCTACTATAATAAAAATCATTACACTTCCCTTGGCTCTTGACTCAGTTGAAAGAGTTTTTCATCTACACTGAACTTTTTTTAAAAAAATCCATTCAATCATATCCGATTCTCAGAGACTGCCTGGACAAGTCCCTGCAGTTTTCTTACCAAGGTTTTTTTTAGAAGTGGTTTGCCATTACATCCTTCTTAGGGCTGAGAGAGAGTGACTGGCCCAAGGTCACCCAGCTGGCTTTGTGTCTAAGGCAGGATTAAAACTTGTGGTCTCCCAGTTTCTAACCTGATGCCTTAACCACTGCACCAAACCGAAAGTG